AAGCCCCAGACCAACCCTGGGCCCTTTCCAGCACGTGAGCCGATTTGTGCCTTTTTGCCTCTTTGAGTTGGAGATGTGTCATTTCCAGAAACAGCACAGCCACACGTTCAAGTGGACACTCTTCTCACCCCCATCTCATCAGCACAGAGCTGAGAGAACAGGATCAGCGCAGGGCCCATCCTCAGTCACAGAACCACAGCCCCGAGAGAGGGAGGGGCCCATGGCTGGCACACCCAACGCGGGCCCAGTCTCCAGAAGGGATCTGATGCCCAGAGAGGGCAGGAGCTACCGAGTGCACAGCTGGCTGGCAGCACCCAGCCCCCAGGGGCGCCAGGGGCCCCTGCCCTGTTACCTGCTCCCAGTCACAGGCCTCCTTCATCCATGAGTCAAACACCAGCACGTAGCCCAGCGTCACAAGGCAGGCCCAGATGAGTAGCGCCGAGGCCCTGAGCCACCGGCGGACGAGGCACTCAACATACACGAGCGCGTAGAGAGCCACAAACACAGCAAGCGTGAAGAACGCCGTCCCCAGGACAGCCTGGTGTCTGGAGGGGTCCTGGGGGGAGGGGGTGGGGGTGAACACACACAGAAATGCCATAGCTTTCCCCAGCGGGGTGCCACCTCCTCCAGAAAGCCTGCCAGGTTAGCCTGCCCAGCCTGCCCTAAGCAAGGTCACTTGCTGCTTCCTCCACGTGGGTGGTGTCCATCCTCCCTCTAAACATCAAGTTCTTTCTTACCTCAGGCTTTGTGCTACTGCCTCTGCTAGGGGTGCCTTCACCACCACCTTTCCCCAGTCACCTGTGGGGCCCAGCCCTGTGACGTTCTCACTCCCCACCCCTCCCCCTCAGGCGTCCCCCAGGGTCCCCAGAAGCTCTGTGCACACCTGCAGGGCACAGGTACAAGAGCACAGGAGCAAAGCTGTGGAAAGCCTCCTGGGTGAGAGGCCACTGCTCCTAACTCTTAAAGCATGAATGGATGTTTATGAGGAAATACGACCAAAGGCAACCCAGACAGGGGAAGAGCTGAAGGAAAGGTACAGAAGTGTGACACTCTGGGGTGAAGAGGTAACAGGCAAGACGTTCACAGGTGGACAGCACCTGGTTTCCCCCAGAGGCCCGTAAGCTCCATGAGCACAGAGACTAATCTGGGGCCAGCACCCAGTAGGTGCTCAGTAACTATGTGCCGAATGACAAAACAAAGGCTCTCGGGTTTACATCCACAGAGATACAGGCAGCACCGGCAGAGCACCTACTGGGTGCTGGCCACCTTACACATATCACCCTGTTAACAGCCTGTAGTCTCTGATGGTTTCTTCTAGAACTTTACTGTCCCATACAGCAACCACTAGCCACATGTGGCTATTCAGATTTAAATTCCCAATAATTGAAGATAAAATTGAAAATTCAGTTCCTCAGTCATACTAGCCACATTTCAAGTGCTCAACAGCCACGCAGAGGTAATGGCTATAGCAGAACAAGGCCTAAGTCAGAGATAATATTAGTGGTGCCTGCTGTCTTAAGAAGGATTCTGAGACACACAACCCCCCACCCTGGCCGGCTCCGTGAGAAAGAGTGCTGGGATTGATGCATGATGTCTGCCACGGTACTGGAAGTGGGAGCAAGTGATACACAGGCCTTCAGTAAAGTCAAAGTCCATTGTGGGGAAAAGTGAGGGTAATTTATTTGGCCAAATTAATGTAACATCTAAAACTACCCCAGACTTAAAAATTAAAATAAAAAATGTGTCTTCCTCCAGCCTAAATATGCTCCATAGCACTTTACAGATGCAGGAACTCAGGCTTAAAGAAGATAATGGGGCTTCCCTGGTGGCGCAGTGCTTGAGAGTCCGCCTGCCGATGCAGGAGACGCGGGTTCGTGCCCCGTTTCGGGAAGATCCCACATGCCGCGGAGCGGCTGGGCCCGTGAGCCGTGGCCACTGAGCCTGCGCGTCCGGAGCCTGTGCTCCGCAAATGGGAGAGGCCACAACAGTGAGAGGCCCGCATAACGCAAGGAAAAAAAAAAAAAAAAAAAAAAAAAGAAGATAATGACTTGCCCAAGGCCTCACAAGTACAAAGCGTCAGAGCTGAAACCTGGAGCCCAGGGAAGCCCCCAACGCCCACGGGCTGCCCCCACTCACCCCGTAGCTGAAGGCGATGATGATGAGGACGACACAGGCAGTGATGGCCACCAACAGGAGTGTGAGTAGCAGCGGCCCATGCTGGCTGGTGAGGCGGTACTTCTCGTAGAGCGTGTCGTGGTTGGGGTCCTCCTCGCCCTCGTTGAGGAAGTAACGCCCCTTGGCCGGCATCCTCCACCCCTGGCACACCCGCCCAGCAGTCCACGCAGGAGACCCCGCAGCCTGGGGAGCATCTGTCTGCCGACACCCACCCCTGTGCGCCTAGGCCTCTGGTTTCTCCGAGCCTGGCAGGCGGGGCTGGGCGGGAGTCCCCTCAGCCAGCAGCTCCATGGACACACGGGGCCTGCACTGCCCCAGCCGCCAGGCCTTGCTCACTGCACCGCCCGCATCTGCTTTTGCATCCAGGCCCAAATGAACAGACATGCAGGGTCCTCAGCTCTGCAGAGACACAAAGCAGACCAAGATTTGACCTGGACCGGGAAGGCTGGCATCGGGCGAGAGCAAGGCCAGGCCTCACAGCCCCAGATCTGATTTATCAACCTGAACCAAGCCTAACTTTTAGGTCTTTAAAGCTTGGCCCACCCCAAGGTCATAAAGCTGGTCTCCTGTGTTTCCGAGAACTGCGCGGTCCAATACAGTAGCCACTAGCCACATATGACTATCAAGAATTTAATTTAAGATGATTAAAAATGAAATTAAAAGTTCAGTCCCATATAGAGGCTACTCGGAGAAGATAAATGGCGGCAGCAGGTGGCAACTAGCCAAATCTATGATGTGGGCTAGTCAACAACAGTGGTACCCAGGAGAGATCTTGGAGGGCTTGTTCAAACACAAATCACTGGGCTGCATTCCCAGTGTCAGTTGGACTGGAAGGGGCCTGAGAAGAAATGTGCATCTCTCACATGTTCCCAGAAGATGCTGAAGCTGCTGGTCGACACTTTGAAAACTACTGGCCTACAGGACAAATAACCCATTATTAACCAGTCAGTACCATGAGAGAGAGTGGGGATGTTACAGAATAAAATAAATTTAAAAAGCTTACAAACCCAATGCAATATAATGGACTTTACCTGGATTTTGATTTTTAAAAGCTGCAACTACAAAAAAAATGTTGAAACGACTGGTGAAAAATCTAAATGTGAACTGAAGGTGGGATTAAGTTAATAAATTACTTAATTTTTTTGAGAATAATAATAGCTTGATGATTACATTTAAAACATTTTTAAAGTTAAAAAAAAAATTTCAGCCCCTCAGCCACACCAGTCACATTTCAAGTGCTCAACAGCCACACGCAGCTAGCGTTTATTACATTGGGCAGCACAGATATAGAGCCCTTCTATTATCCAGAAACTTCTACTGGAAAGCACTGCTCTAGAAGTTTGAACAGTTTACTTTCACATGTAGGTCTCCAATCCATCTCAAGGAATTCTTGTGTATGGTGTGAGGCAGGGATCAAGCTTCTTTATTCTGAATGGATAGCTAATTACCCCACCAGCCTTTCATGGAGCCACCATCCTTCCTTCAAGAGTTTTAGTGGAGGCACCTTTGTCCTAAGTCAGGCGGCCATGCATGTGAAGTCTGTTTGCAGGCTTTCTTCTGTTCCAATGGTTCTTGTGCAAAGACCTCACTCGCTCGATTACTGGAACTTCTCAATGAGTCTTGTGTCTCAGACACTAACGCCAGCTTCCCTCAGAGCATACCCCTTGCATTCATATTATGCTAAGCTTCCACATAAGACTGAATATTTCTAAAAGGGCCCACTGACAAGAATTTAAGAACCTTGCAAGCTCCACTTCATAGATAAGGAGACTGAACCTCAGAGAAGAACACGGTGGACCCTTTATGACAAAGTTGGGAGCGGACCCCAGGCTTGCAATGCTTAGCCCAGAGGGGCTCCCTCTTTCCCCAGCACCATTCATTTATTTGCCCATTTGTTTATTCCCAAACAGCTTGTTAACCATGCCTATGGCACACCAGGCCCATTATATCTCCTGTGTGTCAGGCTAGCTCTCTCTACCCCTAGGGCTCCCAGTCTCCAGGGAGAGAAAGTTACCAAAAAAATGTGCAATCCCTACATGCAGCGACTGGGGCTTGGGGTGGCTGACATATTCCCAGCAGGAACCTCGTGTCAAGGGAGCAGCCCTGGACCAGGAGTCCAGGCCCCCAACATCCTCCAGGCCTGCATCAGCGATAGGAACCAGGGCAGGGCAGGGAGCAGGGAGGTGGTAAGACATGGGAAGGCTCAGGGCAGTCACAAAGGGTACAAATGGCCACTGGTGGAAGCTGTGAAGGAAAGTTGGTCCAGAGCCCCCAAAGGCAAAATAGCAGGGCACCCAGAATCCCAGAGTCTGAGTGAAGTCCCCCAGTGAGTGCCAACTGCCTTGAGTAACCTGGGGCCACCTTGGATCAGGAGTCACCTGTGGCACTATTCCACCTGGGAGCTCCTGTTCCTCAAACCCCAGGAACAAAATGGAAAAACCACATATTTGGCGGGGGAGGAAGGGGCTGTTTGCCTGGAGTCCTGGCCCCTCTGCTCCTTCTGGGCCCAGGCAGGTGTCTACAGGCCTCGGCAACAACCTGTTTAACCCAGGCAACCCTGAGGGGGTTGGGCCAGGACCGCCAAAGTGTGCAAAGTGTTTGGACAAAAGCTACAAATCTGATTTCTACGTGAAATACTGATTTCCAACTGCTGCCAGCTGATTTTTAAAATTTGCTTGGTGCCAATAGCCAAAACGTGGAAAAACCTGAACATCCATCGACAGATGAATGGATAAAGAAGATGTGGTACATATGTACAATGGAATATTACTCAGCCATGAAAAAAGGATGAAATAATGTCATCTGCAGCAACATGGACGCAACTAGAGATTATCATGCTAAGTGAAGTAAGTCAGAAAGAGAAAGACAAGTACCAAATGATATCACTTACATGGGGAATCTAAAACATGGCACAAATGAACGTATCTACAAAACAGAAACAGACTCATAGATATAGAGATCAGACTTGTAGCTGCCGGGGGAGAGGGGAGGGAGAGGGATGCACTGGAGTTCGGGGCTGGTAGATGCAAACGATTACATTTAGAAGAGATAAACAACAAGGTCCTACCGTATAGCACAGGGAACTATATCCAATCTCCTGGGATAAACCACAATGGAAAAGAACATAAATATATGTGTAACCAACTCACTTTGCTGCACAGCAGAGATCTGCACAGCACTGTAAATCAACATTACTTCTATTTTAAAAAATTTATAAAATTTGCATACTGCAGCCCACTAGTTTGCCACCTCTAAAGCAATACTCACCAGTCTTTGTTCCACAAGAGGCATTTTTGAGTACTAACCATATATGCCCAGCCCTGTGCTAAAGGGGTCACGAAACAAGGTAAGGTCCCTACCCTGAGAAGCCCCCACTCCAGGGCATGTGGAAAACAGCTGTCATGCTGTCACGCCAGGTGCCTGCACATCCATCTCCACTCTCGCCTTCATAACCTGCTAAGGCCAAGGTGTTACAGCCATTTCCCAGATGTAAAACTGAACCCAGAGAGGGAGCGTGCCTTGCCTAACATTACACAGCTGGAGCTGGTTGGTAGAAGGGCTGGGATTCAAACCTGTGTCTGCCAGCTTCCAAACCAGGGCTCCTTGGCCCAGCCTCACTGTCTTACTGAGCTGAGAAAGGCTTCCCCATGGAGCTCCTTCCAGAAGCAGCAGGTCCCAGTGACTGAACCAGTTGTCAGAAGTATACACAACACTGTCTGTCCCTCTGGCCTGGTGCAAACACCAGTGCACCGGGACTGCCAGGCTGAGAAACCCCAAACTCTAAGGAGCCAAGGCAACTCCCCACAGCTGCTCCATCCCCCAGGCAAAGCCCCCAGAGCAGAGCTGTGGGTGGCCAGGACATGCACAAGTGTGCACGTGTACGCACGTGTGTGCGCACGTGCGTGCGCGCGCACGCACACACACACACACACACACACACACACACACACACACACACACACACACCATGGAGCCTTTCACCCCCAGGTGCCAACCTGCCCTTCCAGGCACACAAAGCCGGGCTGAGCCAGGCATGGAGAGAGGAGGATTAGTTGGAAGATTCTGAGAGTCTTGGGAACTCAGGCCTGGTAAACACTCCTCCTGGGGATCTAATTAGGCCACTTCCTGGGCAACGGCAGGCGGGAGAGGAGGCAGACAACGGGCAGTACTGGGCACGGAGACTAGGCCCGCCCAGGGACCCCGTCCAGCTCCAGCAGAACAAGGCAGGGCTGGGAGGAATGGCACCTCTCCCTCCTGCAGACAACCCAGCACCAACAGGCACCTCCACAGGCCAGCTCCTCTCCAGGAGCCAGCCCACAAAATGAGACCCAGAGGCCCCCTCTGTCAGGGCAGGTTTCAAGGCCCCTCTACCCAATCTCCAGTTCTTCTGCCAGTTGCCAACTCAGCTGATAACTGGGAGGGCCCCTATGAGTCCCTGGATGAACCCCTCTGCCAGGTCTCCAACAAGTGTTGCCGCAACCTCAGCTCGCAGGCCTCGGTGATGGGAAGCTCATCCCCTCTCAGGGCGGTCTTCTCCAGCACTGGGCGCTGCTCTGGCCGGAAGTCCAACCTGAGGTCAAGCCAGGCTCTGCCTCCCCGTCACTCCCTCACCCACACCCCACGGGTCCTTTGTGAACTCCAAAGACACCAAGAGCAGAGACATCGAGGCCCTTTTTACCTGGAGAGGCTGGATTCCCAGGGCTCCCTCACTGCCACTCACACCTCACAATAACTCTGGCAGGGGAACAGCCCCATCTCACGGAGGAGGGGGACCCCAAGGGTCCAGTTGGGAGGGTGCTTCCCGCTTTTGCTGGAAATGGTCCTCTCCCCCTCTCTCAGCCCTGGTTCAGGGGCCACATGACCCAGGTCTGACTCATCAGCACAGTCTCTCCCAAGCCGCAGTGACTGGTTTAAAGATGCAAATGTGACCAGAACCATGTCAGTGAGATTACTCTTTGGGACGTTTGCTGGCCCACGAGGAAAAGATGCTCTCTTTGCCAGCGGCCTGGAGCTGCTGGCAGCCACCTGAGCCACCACAGTAGACAGCCCACCTGAGAAGGAAGCCCACATGGAGAAATGGTGAGAGACAGGGTCCTGAACATACCCGCTGGGGCCCCCAGATCCAGCTCTGTCTGAGGCTCAGGCAACCCCCAGATATTTCCTCCCAAGGGATAATCAATACCCCTCCCAGCTGAAGCCAGGGTGAGCTTCTGCCACTTGCAACCAAGAGTCCCAAGGTCCATGTTGGGCCTCCTACCCCAGTTTGCTGTGTCCAGCATGGAGCCTTTCACCCCCAGGTGCCAACCTGCCCTTCCAGGCACACAAAGCCGGGCTGAGCCAGGCATGGAGAGAGGAGGATTAGTTGGAAGATTCTGAGAGTCTTGGGAACTCAGGCCTGGTAAACACTCCTCCTGGGGATCTAATTAGGCCACTTCCTGGGCAACGGCAGGCGGGAGAGGAGGCAGACAACGGGCAGTACTGGGCACGGAGACTAGGCCCGCCCAGGGACCCCGTCCAGCTCCAGCAGAACAAGGCAGGGCTGGGAGGAATGGCACCTCTCCCTCCTGCAGACAACCCAGCACCAACAGGCACCTCCACAGGCCAGCTCCTCTCCAGGAGCCAGCCCACAAAATGAGACCCAGAGGCCCCCTCTGTCAGGGCAGGTTTCAAGGCCCCTCTACCCAATCTCCAGTTCTTCTGCCAGTTGCCAACTCAGCTGATAACTGGGAGGGCCCCTATGAGTCCCTGGATGAACCCCTCTGCCAGGTCTCCAACAAGTGTTGCCGCAACCTCAGCTCGCAGGCCTCGGTGATGGGAAGCTCATCCCCTCTCAGGGCGGTCTTCTCCAGCACTGGGCGCTGCTCTGGCCGGAAGTCCAACCTGAGGTCAAGCCAGGCTCTGCCTCCCCGTCACTCCCTCACCCACACCCCACGGGTCCTTTGTGAACTCCAAAGACACCAAGAGCAGAGACATCGAGGCCCTTTTTACCTGGAGAGGCTGGATTCCCAGGGCTCCCTCACTGCCACTCACACCTCACAATAACTCTGGCAGGGGAACAGCCCCATCTCACGGAGGAGGGGGACCCCAAGGGTCCAGTTGGGAGGGTGCTTCCCGCTTTTGCTGGAAATGGTCCTCTCCCCCTCTCTCAGCCCTGGTTCAGGGGCCACATGACCCAGGTCTGACTCATCAGCACAGTCTCTCCCAAGCCGCAGTGACTGGTTTAAAGATGCAAATGTGACCAGAACCATGTCAGTGAGATTACTCTTTGGGACGTTTGCTGGCCCACGAGGAAAAGATGCTCTCTTTGCCAGCGGCCTGGAGCTGCTGGCAGCCACCTGAGCCACCACAGTAGACAGCCCACCTGAGAAGGAAGCCCACATGGAGAAATGGTGAGAGACAGGGTCCTGAACATACCCGCTGGGGCCCCCAGATCCAGCTCTGTCTGAGGCTCAGGCAACCCCCAGATATTTCCTCCCAAGGGATAATCAATACCCCTCCCAGCTGAAGCCAGGGTGAGCTTCTGCCACTTGCAACCAAGAGTCCCAAGGTCCATGTTGGGCCTCCTACCCCAGTTTGCTGTGTCCAGAAAGCCCTCGTGGCCCCTTGATGAGTCCAAGTCGGGAGAAGTTAGCTCAAAGGTGAGAGCGGGCCCCTGCAGACACAGCCAGTCCTGGCTAAGACCTCCTCTGGAGGGACGCCGGCCAGGGAGGGGAACCCTTCACCATCCCCACCCCAGCTCATACCTCTGTCACCGTGTCCCAAACTAAGCAGGGCAGCACGGGGCCCAAGGCTGCAGGAGGCCAGTACCCTCCAGAGATTCCTCCCCTGCGGGAGGAATTAGGGAGCGGAGGGGTATACTTAGGTAGAAACTGATACCGGCAGAATCAAGCTCTTCCCCCAAGCGATCCTGGTGGACTCAGTTCCCCGCAGCCGCAGGGCCTGTGACTGAGTAGGACAGACCATCACAAAATCTACTGACTGCTTATTGTGTACCCAGCACTGTAGTCTCTCTAAATCTGCACCCCTGCCCTGTAGGTAAGACTGCTGTGTCTGTTTTATGGATGTGGGAGCTGAGGCAAAGAGAGATTCAGTTACTTGCCTGAGGTCACAAAGCTAGTAAAAGAGAGCTGGGATTTGAATACAGGCCACTCAGGGTCCTGGCCGTCACCCTCCCAATGCTGACATTCAAAGAGCCCATAACATCTCAAAATGCTAACCCCTTTCTGCCCTCCCCCTTCAAGGCCCCAGACAGAGGGTGGGGGGCAAAGTGGACTCCATCAAGGTACCTCCCTCTGCCTTCCAGGGGCAAGATGAGGCAGCCATGCCAGGGAGCCTCCTCGAAGCCAGCAAGATCCAGGAGGGCCTCTTCCTCCCGGAAGCCCTCTGAACTACCCCATACACACCGTCTTCTCCCTTCCTTGCAACAAGACAGGACTGGGGTCTTCTTGCAAAATACTGACAGGCGGGGGTCCAGGTTCCTCAGCTAGAAGAGCTGCTGGAGATAGGGCGCTGGGACCTCGAATTATGACTGCAGGACTGGGCCCTCAGGGGTGCTCAGGAAATCCTTCCCCAGTGGAACTGGCTGATCTGGCAGCACCCCCAGCCCTACCACACCCCTGGGGGAGTTCTAGCCCACCCCAGCTTTCACAGACACAGACAGGATACCCACTTCCTCACCCAAGCAACACTGGCAGGAACCCAGCCCGGCTTCCTCTGGCCCTGCCCTGGCAGAGGCCCCGGAGCTGTGCAGGGCCTGGTGGCCCCAGAAAGGGGAAGTGGGGCCTCGGGGTGTGAAGCGGGGCGGGCAGGCAGGCCTAAGGAGAGGAGAGGGCCCACTCAAGCCCCTCAGGCCGGACCCTGTACCCACGCCCCGCCCAGGTGACCGTACTGCTGCAGCCGGGAACCCACCAGCACAGTCTTGCCCCCTAGGCCAGCCCAGTGCCTGGTGGGTTGGGTCACTGGCAGACTTTCTGTTTGCTGAGGGACTCATGTTAATGCCACCTCCCTCAGGAGACCCAGAGCTCTGTGAAGGAGAGCCACCAGCCCCGGCCTGGCAGCTAGGGGCACCCAGAAAACCTCATGGGACTAAGGGCCTCCCCAGGCCTTAGCCCGTGCCGGGGCCTAACCTCCCTCCCCATACCATTCTCTCCTGGACATCTGCCCCCCTCGGGAGGCCTTCCGAGACTTCTATCACCTGCCTCACCGCACCTGCCTCACCAAACTGTGGTGGGATTTAAGTCTGTGTCCTGCAGCTAGGCCCTGGCAGATGCTTGTGGGACGGACAGATGGATGAGCCAACCAACTCGAGTCCTGAGCCAGGCAGAAAGGTGGCAGACAGGAGGCAGGGCGGCTTTGGTGAGGGGGCTGGGGGGGCGGGCATTAGGGCGGAAGATGATGAAAACAGACAAAAGGGTCTCCCCCAGAACAGGAAACACCTGCTGTGTCACACCTTTCCGCAGGTGAGCTGTACCGGGAAGGAGGAGGCCTGGGTTCAAATCCCAGCTCTGCTACCCTTGGCCATAGGAGTGGCAGAGTCTCTCACACTCTGGGCCTCAGTTTTCTCATCAGTAAACTGAGGTGCTGATACCCAAGTTCGGGGGAGAGCAAGGCGCAGGTCCTCAGGGCCAACAGGCCAAGTTTGTGAGGACAAAATAGCCAATGCGCCCAGAAGGAAGGCTCAATTCCTAGAGCTGAGGAAGCCCAACCATGAGGTCCAAACAGGAGAGACAGAGGTGCACAGGGGGCAGAGCCCCTAACGACCCTCCACTTTATCTCCCCGCCTCCTGGTGACAGTCTGCAAAGCCACGAGGCAGAAGCAAAAGCCAAAGCCCCCAATAGCATATGCCCCCAGACAGCCCTGCTCCCCAAGAACTCCCAGGCTGACTCTACCCCAGCCTCTAGGGACCACAAGCTGTCACTCAGTCTTGAGGTCTAGAGACCTGTGCTCCAGTCCCAGCTCTGCCACTAACGTGTTCTGTGACCCTTACCTGATCCGGGCCTCGGTTTTCCCTCTGCCAAAGGAGATGGTTATGTCAAACCTCTGAGGCCCAGCTCTGGGCTGGGCTAGGAACGGAGGCTAAATCATAAAACAAAGAGAACTGAGGAAAAGCTGAAAAGCCTGCGTGTTGCCATCTGGCCCCAGAGGGCTAATTCCAGGGGTGGAGTTGGGAATTGTTCTTTGCTCCTGAAATCCTCCCTTCCACTCTTCCTCTGGATTAGGCATTAGCCTAGTCAATCTCTCCTCTAAAACACAAATACCTCGTCACCCCTTCCCCGCAAGGCTCCAGCCGCCAGAGATAATAAATCCAGTTTGCCATCTCCTGGGCCAATTCTAATGATGGTTAGTAATTGCCTGGGAAGAGTTCATCTATTCATTCACGCATCTTGACAGAGATTCACGCATTCACTCCTTCAGCAGATGTGCACTAACACCTTCTATGTGTCAAGAGGAAACTCAGCTCCAGGCACAAGTTTTCAGAAGGCAGAGACCTTGGTGCCCCCTTCCCCCAGGTGTCTGCAAAGGGCTCTGCGCACAGGAGGTGTTCAGGCAACAAGGTTTACTAACTAAAAATAAATGAATGCACAATAATACATAGCATGTATATATGGATAACTAAACAACCAGGTTCCCGTATTGGAAAGAACAGCTATGTCTTCCCCCAACTCTTGCCTGAAATTCCACCATTAGTTATTCATTCCTTTAAGCACTATCTTCACTAGGCTCCCCCTTTAGAATGAAAACACGTTCATGCGCATGTTTCATTCCTGATCCCTTTCGCCTCGATAACAAAGAACAGAAAGGGGAAAGTCTAGCTGGTCTTCAGGGACCTCGTGTGGTGCTGCTTCTGCCCAAGATGGCAGAACACTGGGCTTCCCACGGCCCACCCAGACAGTGGGTCTGCCGGTGACAGAAGATTCAACCCAGAGTAGCCACTGTCCTGGAAAGAGCAAGAAAGTTTTAGGCATAAGTCTTAACTTCTGCACTGCTGAGTTGCCTATTTAAAAAGTCAGCAGAGCCCAGAGGAGGGAGAGAAAGCTGGAGGCATAATTTATACCAGGATGATTTCCAAAGAGCAAGAAACCATGAAAGAATTCTCATATAATGCTGTAGTGAGTAAGTCCTTTCTAACCTGATCCAAAACCTAAAAGCCACAATGAAAAGACTGATAAGTTCGATTACAATTAAAAATTATTTTTCTACCTAGTAAAAACTATCAAAAGCAAAATCAAAAGATGAGCGAGAGATTATGGAGACATTTGCAATTTTTATCTCCCTAAAGAGCTAATCTCCCTCATATGTAAAGAGTTCCTACAAATCAAAAAGAACAATAACCCAGTAGAAAAATGGGAGAAGAGGATGAACAGAAAGTTCACAGAAAGACAATACAAATCTCTTAAATATTTGGAAAGAAGCTGACCTCACCCATAACAAGAGAAATGCAAATTAAAACTACTATGGAAAACCATTTCTACCTACCCAATTGGCAAAGATCAAAGCATTTCATAAATCTGTGTTGGCTAGGCCAGGGGGGAAACAGACACTCACGCTCACCCCTGGCGGGCGTGTGATTCAGCACAACGTCTGGGGCAGGCAGTTTCATCATATCTAACAGACTCACTAATATACACACACACCTTTTGACATAGCAAACCTACATCAAGTAATTTACCCTATAAACACTTTCACATGTGTGAAATTTGACATATGTACAAAATTATTCATTGCAGCACTATTTGTAACTGCAAAACAC